GACAATGGTCAGTAGCTGGGTCCAGGGTGGTTTGGTGGCGTAGGAAATTTCTCCCCCGAAGCCAGTGAGAGCGAGGGCCAGGTGCTCCGATATCGCAGTTGACTCCGTGGTCGGTCGCTTGCGGAAGGGGAGGTGGATCCTTGCCGGCTCGGTTCCCAGGTGTCTCAGGGCGAGTCTCCTGCCTTTCATGATGAGGTTAGCAACGCATTCAACTCCTGGGGAGAATGCGTGAGTTGGTCTTCCGAGGACCACCCATTGGATCGGCTGGGATTTTTCGGAAGGTCCTTGGGCAAGTGCTCCCACTCCTCCCTTCTGTGTGAAGTGGACGTATAAGTCCAGTGGTACGCTCGGGTTCCACCTGGCAAGCAGGCTAGTGGACATCTGACATTCGATGAAGTCGAGGGATTTCGTTGCTTGCGGCGTCAGCTCCTTGGGGTCCCAGGGGTGTTTTCCTTTCAGGAGGTCATACAGGGGGTCCATGACCTCTGGGGGAACTAGGACGATGTTGCGGAGCCACTGCAGAGATCCCATAAGTCGCTGCATGTCGTGGAGGGTCTTGATGTCTCGGCGGACCTTTATCCTGGGTGGGGTCACGTAGGAGTTTGTGATCCCCACTCCCAGGAAGGTCACGCACGGTCCTCTCTTGATCTTCGTGTTCGCGATCTCGAAACCGTTGGCCTGGAGGGTTTCCGTGATCGTGGACACTAGGTGATCCACTTGGCTTGCTGATGGTGCAGCGACGAGGATGTCGTCCATGTACTGAATGATGGTCACAGCAGGGTGGGAGTGTCGGACTGGCATCAGTGCCCTGTCCACGGTAATCTGGCATATGGTCGGGCTGTCCACAAGGCCTTGAGGTAGCACCTTCCATTGGAAGCGGAGGTTAGGTCGCTCGCCGTTCGGGAACACGACGGAGAAGGCGAACCGTTCTTTGTCCTCGGCATGCAGGGGTATTGAAAAGAAACAGTCTTTGATGTCCAGCACTGCGCACGGCTGCCCTTTGGGGATGGCTGAGTTCGCGGGCAGTAGTGTCTGAACTGGACCCATGGGCTGAATTGTCTTGTTCACTTCCCTCAGGTCGTGGATGAGGCGGTAGCCTTCTCCTGATCTCTTGGGGATTACAAACACAGGGGTGTTCCACGGGCTGGTGGAGGGTTCAATGTGGCCCTTTTGTAGCTCGCGGTCGACCAGTTCCAGCAAGGCTGTAATTCGAGGCTTTGACAGGGGCCACTGCTCAACCCATACGGGGTCTGGTGATTTCCAAGTCAGTTTGATTGGCAGCAGTGGGTGTACAGCAGTGGCCCTCATTATAAATTTGTAATCCTGACTCCTAGCATAGCAAGGATGTCTCTTCCTATCAGGGGTGGGGAGTTTTGCAAGATGTAGGGGTGGATTGCTACTGTTTGTTCTGGTCCTTTCTTTGTATGGAGCGTTATAGCTACCAATTGGGTGCTTTTCCAAGCTCGGGACAACCCTCCCACCCCGTTCACTGGAGGGACCTCCTTGTACTGCCAGTGCCGGGGCCATAGGGCTTGGGGTAGGATTGTGCAGTCTGCTCCTGTGTCTGCCCAAAACTGAAGCCCTATTACGTGGGGGTCCCGACTGCCATAGAGGCGGCATGTCCCCCAAACTTTCGGGGGTTCCTTCCCTATTTTCATGGCCAGGGCCACCCAGGGGTCCCGACTTGGGCTGCCCCCTGTTGACCCTGTGGCACAGGCGCTGCTTGCGGTGGCGGTGGGTACGAAGGCGCCGCAGGCTGTGCTGTGAGACTCGTTGGCAAGGGTATGAAGTTGGCTGCTTCCTGTGGGAGAATGGGGTACGAGGGCTCCCCGCCCTATTGGGGGTTGGCATGGATGGGCCGCCTCACATTCGCAGCGGGAGGAGGCTGGGTGCAGCCCGCAGGCCCCCTCCCTTTTCTGTTTCCCTGGAGCCGGGACCTGCATTCCCTAGCAAGATGCCCCTTCCTCCCGCAACCCCAGCAGGATCCCCGCGGGCGTGTTTGGGGTGGAGGCGCTGCGGCAGGCCGTCGTGCCGGCTGGGGGCAGCTCACCGCGATGTGACCCGCCTCACCGCACTTGAAACACGCCATGGCATTGGTCAGGGTGTGGACGGCTGCCTGAATGGGCGTCAGGTGTTCCTCCCTCACTACGTGTCTGATCATGTCAGCCAGGCTAGCTCCGGCTGGCAGGGAGCGTAAAATATCCTTGGTAATAGAGTTGCATTGCTGGCGCAGGCAGTCGGCTACCACGGGGCCCTTTGCCTCTGCCGGCAGGGTGGAGGAGTCTATCGCTGCCTGCAGGCGATCTACGAACTGTGTGAAGCTTTCGCTCTCTGCCTGCCTCACGGTGGACCACGGTGCCGGCTTAGCCACGACTCGGGAGGCTGCGCGGATAGCCTCTCTGGCAGCCCGAGTGGTCGCCCTGACCTCCTCAGCCTGCATCTGCGCAGCTTGTTGTTGCGGCGTGATCATATCATCATGTTTTCCTATCAGTCTGGATAAGCTCGATCTGTGTAGGGGCTGCCGCGCGCCGGACGCTTGGGCTAACTGCTTCCTACAATTATCCTCCCATTCCTGTCTGAAGACAATCATTCCCGCACCATCAAGTATCATGCGCCCTATTCGTTCGATATCAAAGGGAAGCAAGTCATCGTTGCTAAAAAGACCATCGATTAATGTGGTGACTATGGCCGAGTTAAACCCTTTTTCTGCGATGGCTTTGACAATTGACTGTATATCCTTTGGGTTTATCGGGGTATATACCCTTTGTTGGTTTCCTTCCGGACCGGCGAGCCTCACCGGGAAGGCTTGTATGGCGGCCGCTGGGGACCATTCAGCACAGGCTATCTTTATTTTCCCCCAGTCAGTAAACTGGGCTGGTTCGTATTGTAGTTGTTTTTCGGCGCGGCTTAGAACTTTACTTGGTTTTGTTTCAAACTGTGCTGGCTCCGTTTCGTCCGTCTCGGAGTCATAGCCAGCCTCCGTCAGCTCCTCTGAGCTGGTGGAGCTGTCGCTGGTCTCCGAGCCGGAAGACGAGTGCCAGTGCACTTCCGGGGCTCCGCGCCGTTTTGTCCGGCCCCGAGCTCGCTCCTCCCCGTGGGGGTGGTTCCGCTCCCGCCCCCCCGGCTCGCCGCGCCTCCCGCGGGGGGTGGTTTCTCCCTTATATGGTGGCGGCGCCCGGCGCGGCCGCTGGTTGGCTCCGCGCTCCGTGCCGCTCTCCGCCCCTTTCTCCCGCGCACGCGCATCCCCGAGATCGCGCACTTCCCGGGTTTTCGCGCCGAGACTACCCGGGCCCCGCCCCTCTCTACGGCTCCCGGCGCCATTTTCAAGGGGATAAGGAGGCGGCATGGCGGCCACGTTCTCCCGAGCCGCGGTTTCTGCGTCTCGGGCTTCTTTCGCCAGCCCTTGCCAGAAGTGCTCCGCGTGCCGTTGCGTCTCCGACAACTGATCGCGGGCCGGTGGCGGCGGCGGGACGGAGGAATTTGCGGTCTCTCGGGGGGTTCGAGCGGTGGGGGTTTTTTGGGGGTTTTCTGCGGCGGGGGTGTCTCGGGGGGTTTCAGTGGGGGGGGGTGGGCTCTGATCTGGGGGAGGGGGTGTCGCGCTGAGCCCCCCCGGGTCCCCGCCGCCGGGCGAATCACTCTCAGGGGCAGTCTGCGTTCCCGCCCCCACACCGAGTTTGGGAGTAACTAATAAACACGTACGCGCCGCGCTCCATGTCTCCTGCTCTTCTATCGCTTTGCGTAGGGCTTTTTCTACTTTGCCCCACGCTTTAGGATTTCTGCCGCTGCCTGAGGATTTTGTGTCCTCGGCTAGCGCGGCAGTGCATTTTTCCCATATTTCCGGATGTAACACATCCACGGGGCGCTCAATTGCCCCAAGCTCAAGCAATCTCACTACGGCAAGATGAAAATCCTTGAGCTTACACCCAATACCCCACTGCGAATAAATAGCACTCACGATCCTTGCCATTGCGTCCATGACGCCCGCGGATCCTAGGGGACGTCTCCCCTTACGCCTGGGTACGGTCCGACCGTCCTGGCCGCTGCTTCTGTCCAGGTGAATCCCATCCACCGGGGGGTTTTTCCTTTTTATTTTCTTCTTTTTTCTTCTTTTCTTCCGGGTTTCGGCACCAGTATGTTGCCTTTATAAAAGACAACCAGAGACCTGGTTCAGGGAACAGCACGGCAGCCTGCTCTCGGCCGGGCTGCTCGGGCTAATCAACAGACGCAGACACCAATATGGCAGATGGTTGAAAAGCCTTTATTATCCTATCTCGTGGGTTTAAATAGCTTTTAGGGGTCTTTGCTACGTCAGAGGGGGGTTGGGGGTCTCAGGGGTTAGTCGGGTAGTGGAAATTTACTAGGGCCGGTGTGGCTGCATTCCTCTGAGGCTTCTGGAGTTAATAGATAAGTGGGGAAGAGAGAGAGAGAGAGAGAGAGGGGGATGGGTCTATCTTTCCGTCACACCCCGAAATCTTCCGTTCGCCTGTCCCTTACCTACCACACTCGGGAAACGCTGCTTTCTGCAGTAAGGTTCCTGAAGAGAAGGGATCTTCAGCACCTGGTGAACACAGATCAGATGTGGAGCTTTGCTGAGCGCTTGGTAAGGACAGCCCAGAAGCCCCAGCCCCAGCCTGGAGAAGCCGCCTGCCCACGGTGCCCAGTCTGTGGGGCTGGCAGCTGCAGCCCCTGCCCAGTGCTGCACGCAGGGGCACCGGCCGGCGCCCCACACGCCGCTGCCTTCCCGGGGCCACCCGGGCTCTGCTCCAGGCTCCTCTGGCCCCAAGCCCGGCGCTGAGGGAGCCCCGAGGCAGCCGGGCTCTGCCGCGGGGCGGCACCGCGGCTCGCCGGGCCCTCTGCTCCCTGCGGAGCCCGGCGCCTGCGGCTGCTGGCCGGGCCTCGGGGCTGTGTGGGCAGGGGGAGCGGCGCCCGGCCTAGGGAGCGCCCGGCCGAGGGGCAGGGCCCACACCAACCCTTCCCTTTGTGCCTGCTGCTCTCTCCAGCTGGCAGAGGACAGGAGCCGAGCGGCCGAGCACCTGCGCCGGGCCCTGCCCTACCTGCAGAGCCCACAGGAGCCCCTGCGAGAGGCGGCCGTCAGGTTCATGGGTGAGCCAGCAGCCCGGCTCCTTCCCCGCCCCGCCGCAGCTCGGCCCCAGCCCCGCCTGCTGCCCCGGCAGCAGCATCCCAGCGCGGCCATCTGGAGCCCCGCCTGGCCTCGGCGCTGCCACCGCCCTCTGGCAGCCGTGCCCTTGGGCGGCAGGATGCGGCAGGGGCCCGGGCTGAGCCCTGCCGGGCCAGGAGGCCGTGTGGCCTCAGGGCTGGCAGCGCCCGTGGGCGGCAGCTGTGGCTCTCCAGCCAGCTCACGCTCTCTGTTCCCAAGGGATCGCCGGGCGCTGCCTGAGAGGACAGCAGCAAGAGTTCCGGATCCTCTGCAGGGGTGAGTGAGGCCAGCGGGCTCTCAGCGGGGGCTGCCGCTGGCAGCTGCCTTCCCTGGCCCGGCGTGCACCAAGGGCAGCGTGGGCTGAGCACACAGACCTTTCGGGGGCCTGTGGCAGATTCGTGGCCAGCACCTTCCAGCTCGCCCTTCTTGTCTCCTGCTTCCTCCAGGCCATGGCAAGAGCTGCCTGGCATGGACGTGGCAGGAGGGTGTCCCCATGTTTCTGCAGACGCAGGCTCTGACGGTGGCTCTGTTCCTCTCTCTCGCAGCCCTTCAGGACATGGCGAATGACGCCAGCCCCGCCATCTCATGCCTGGCCCTTCAAACTCATTACATCAATTTAGCTGTGCAGGCCATTCCCTCCTCCCGACTCCAGAATGTGCAAGATCAACTCCGCCGGCTCTGGAAGTCACGGCCTTTCCCGTGTCGCCGGGGCTGGCTGTCCTGCTGCAGCGCTGTGGAGAACTGATCCGCCAGGCTGCGTCTGCTGGGGCCACCTGAGCCTGCGGGGACCAACCCCCATGTTAATTTCAGGAGGACAATTAGAGAACACCATGCTAAATTAATGAGGACAATTAGGGAACAGCATGTTCATTTCAGGAGCACAATTAGAGAACACCATGTTAAATTTCAGGAGGACAATTAAAAAACACCATGTTAATTTAAGGAGCACAATTAGAGAACATCATGTTAAAATAATGAGGACAATTAGAGAGCACTGTGTTAATTTCAGGAGCACAATTAGAGAACATCATGTTAAAATAATGAGGACAATTAGAGAGCACTTTGTTAATTTCAGGAGGACGATTAGAGAACACCACGTTAAATTCAGGAGGACAATTAGAGAACACCACATTAAATATAACAAAGATGATTAGAGATCACCATGTTAGTTTCAGGAGCACAATTAGAGAACACCATGTTAATTTAACGAAGACAATTAGAGAATACCATGTTAATTTAAGGAGGACAATTAGAGAGCTCTGTGTTAAAATTAACAAAGACAATTAGAGAACACTATGTTAATTTCAGGAGGACAATTAGAGAATAGCATGTTACAATTAAGGAGCACAATTAGAGAATACCATGTTAATTTAAGGAGGTCAATTAGAGAACGCCATGTTAATTTAACGAAGACAATTAGAGAATACCATGGTAATTTAAGGAGGACAATTAGAGAATATGATGTTAAAAATAATGAGGACTATTAGAGAATACCATGTTAATTTAGTGAGTACAATTAGAGAATACCATGTGAATTTCAGGAGGACAATTAGAGAACGCCATGTTAAAATTAACAAGGACAGTTAGGGAACACCATCTTAATTTCAGGAGCACAATTAGAGATCACCATGTTAATTTCAGGAGGACATACTAAAATGTCATCAGAGGCTGTGAAACAGCAGGGTGGAGACACAAGAATAAATAAAATAAAATAAAGTAAAACAAAACAAAATAAATAAAATTAAAGAATTAAAAAAATAAAGTAAAATAAAATAAAATAAAATATAAAAATGAAATAATAAATCCTGACCCTCAGGATGTCTCTGAGCCAGAGAGTGAAGGGGTCAGGCAAAGGAGCTCCCAAAACATCAGAAATTTGAAAGAATGTTTGAGTAGTGTGAAAATCCCCGATATATGATTGGCGCTTGGCAAATATTAAAATGAATACTGAATGCGATATGTGTTATGTTGGAGAGATATGCAGTATTCATCTCTTAAATTTGGCTGTATTAACATTTTTTAAATTTGGCTGTATGAATCTCTTTTTCATTTTAATAGTGCTGTATTAATCTCTTTTAAGTTTTGCTGTATTAATGTCTTAAATTTGGCTATATTAATGTCTTACATTTTTCCTTTATTAATCTCTTTTAAGTTAAGTTTTTCCTGTATTAATCTCTTTTATGTTTTGCTGTATTAATCTCTTAAATTTGGCTGCATTAATCCCTTTTAAATTTCTCCTGTATTAATCCCTTTAATTAGGCGGTATTAATCTCTTTTCAGTTTTGCTGTATTAATCTCTTTTAATTTTTTCCTGTATAAATCTCTTTTAAGTTTTGCTGTTTTAATCGCTTTTCAGTTTTTCCTGTATTAATCTCTTAAATTTGGCTTTATTAATATCTTTTAAATTTTTCCTGTATTAATATATTTTGAGTTTTGCTGCATTAATCTCTTTTAAATTTTGCTGTATTAGTCTCTTCTAAATAGTGCTGTATTAAATTAAGTCTCTTAAATTTTGCTGCATTAATTTTGTTTAAATTTTTCCTGTATTAATATCTTCTATATTTTTCCTGTATTCATCTAAGTTTTCCTATGTTAATCTCTTTTCAGTTTTTCCATATTAATCTCTTTGAAATTTTTCCTGTATTCATCTCTTTTAAGCTTCCCTGTATTAATCTCTTTTCAGTTTTCCATATTAATATCTTTTAAGTTTTTCCTCTATTGATCTCGTTTAACTATTCCTGTATTAATATTTTAAATTTTTCCTGCATTCATCTCTTTTAAGTTTGTCCTCTATTAATCTCTTTTCAGTTTTCCTGTATTAATATATCTTAAGTTTTTCCTGCATTAATCTCTTTTAATTTTTTCCTGTATTAATCTCTTCTACATGTTTCCTGTATTAATCTCTTTTATGTTTTGCTGCATTAATCTCATTTAAATTCTTCCTGTGTTAATCTCTTTTAAGTTTTTCCTGTACTAATCTCATTTAATTATTCCTGTATTAATCTTTTCAATTTTCCCTGCATTCATCTCTTTTAAATTTTTTCTGTATTAATCTCATTTCAGTTTTTCCGTATTAATCTCTCTTAAATTTTTCCTGTATTCATCTCTTTTCAGCAGTGTGGCACACACACTTTTTAGCCTAGAGCACAATATTAAAAGAACAGCAACAGACACCAAAATCTCAAAAAAAACCAAAACATTATTGCCTCCTTCTGTGGAAATCTCAGATTTTCAAAAATTGATTTACAAGATGGGGGGGAAAGCTAAAATTTAAACTCCTAAAATTTCAACACAACGAGTTTTTCACAAATAACGAAATCATGAATATGCACGCGCCTCAGCGATGTCACCCCGCTGGAATTATTCTCCTTTTTTTATCCTATTGCCATTATTATTATTATTAAACTTTAAAAACTCCAAACTGTGAATTCTGTTCCTCGCACTTTCAGACCCAAACTCCCTTACTGTGAACCCAAACTCACTTTTTCACCCCAAAATCTTCCCCCTGCCTCCCTGGGTTGACTTTTGAAGGTCGGACTCCCGTTTTCTTTAAATCCAGATTCTACTTTTTAGGTCCAAACTGCTCAATTTTAGTGCTCAAACCCCAAACTATGGCCCAAATTCTCCATTTTTGGACCCAAACTCCCCCTTTTGGGGTCCAGACTTCCCATCTAGGCACCCAAATTCCCCTTTTTGGGGCACAAATTCCCGATTTTTTTGGTTGAAATTCTCCCTTTTTGAAACCAAATCCCCCTTTTTCGGTCCAAATTTCCCCCTTTTCTTGCTCAAATCCCCTTTTTTGGGCCCAAATTCTCTCTTTTTGGACCCAAATGCGCCTTTTTGAGCCCAAACTTTCCCTTCCTGGACACAGACTCCTCCTTTTTGGGCCCAAATTCCCCATTTAAGACCCAAATTCCATATTTTTTTTTTTTTACCCAAACTCCTGTTTTCACCCCAAAATCTCCTTTCTTGGGCCCAAATTTCCCCCCTCGATCTGCTGGGTTGGGCGGTACTCCCCGCTCTCTTTCGGGACTACATTTCCCATCGTCCCTCTCGCCGATTTCCGGTGTAAAGCCCGCCTTTTTCCCTTTTCTCCTGAGGCGACTTCCGGCCGGGTGCCGCGCTGGCGCCGCCATGTTCCTGCAGTGCTAGGAGAACGAGGGCGGGGAGCGCGTCTACACCCTGCGGGTACCGGGCGCTTTTGGGGCGCTTTTGGGGGATTTAGGGGAGGACTCGGAGGGGACCCGCGGTGTTTGGGTGTCCGCGGTGCGTGCTGGGAGCTATGCGGGTCAGTTTGGCTGTGCTCAGGGGGGAATTTGGGCTCTCCCTGACGCTCTGTCCCCACAGAAGGTGTCCCCGGACGGGGTCCCCACACGCTTGGCGCACCCCGCCCGCTTCTCCCCCGATGATAAATTCTCCCGGCACCGCCTGGCCCTGAAGCGGCGCTTCGGGGTTTTGCCAACGCAGCGAGGCCGGACCCTGCTCTGAGGCACCTCAGAAATCCCCTGAGGAGCCCTGAGATGGCCCCGAGCTCCTGGGAGGGATCCCCGCCATGAGAGAAGGTCAAATCACAGTGCCAGCAGACTGCACGGAAATGAGGGGAAAGGAACATTTTAAAGAGGAGGAAAAATGAAATATTAAAGGTCGAGGGTCTCTGAGTTTTGGTGACCAAATAACTTGGGGTTTTCTTCCTGTTTTGGGGATATTGTGGTTTTTTGGGTCTGGGGAGAGAATTTAGGGGGGCATTGGGGGAAGCGCTAACGGGGCTCTAAGGGGCGCGGGGGATGATGGGAGTTGTAGGCGCGGGTATAACGGTGCTCTATGGGGCGCGGGGGATGATGGGAGATGGAGTCGCGGGTATAACGGGGCTCTGGGGCGCGGGAGATGATGGGAGATGGAGTCGCTGCTTTAAAGAGGCTAAGTGAGGCCGCGGGGCATCACGGGAAATGGGGGCATGGCCGTAAATACGCGCAATGGGCGCCGCGGGGCATGATGGGAGCTGTAGTCCCGGAATTCTTTGTAACGGAGCGGTTGGGGGTCCTGGAGGGCAGGTGTGGGTCTACAGGGGCACCTGGGGGGATTCTGTGGGGTCGGGAAGCCCCTGGGGGCACCTGGGGAGCTCTGAGGGGTCTCCGTGGGGCTCAGGACGTGACGGGAATTGTCGGGCCGGAACTCGGTTTTGAGGGGGCTCTGTCGCCGCAGGGCATGACGGGAGCTGGACTCCTAGCTTTAACGGCGCTCCGTGCGTGCCGCGGTGCATGGTGGGATCTGTAGTCCCTTAGGTGGCGCTCGGAGGCCTCTGTGTGGTTTGGGGCATCTGGGGGTTCGAGGAGGCGTTCAGGAGCCCGAATGGGCTCGGGGGGGCTCTCGGGGGTCCCGCAGGGTCTGGGGGGGCTCCTGTGAGGCTCATGGAGGCGGATAAGGGGAGCGCTGTGGAGCGCGGGGCCTGACGGGACTTGTAGTCCTGGCTCGGTTAAGCCGCCATGGAGCCGCTGTGCATGACGGGGCTTGTAGGCTCAAAGTCGCTAAAATGGCGCCGACACCAGGCCCCGCCTCCAGGTGCTGTTCCCGGGTGCTGATTGGTTGCAGACATTGATAGGCGGGAGCCTCAGCCAATGGGAGGCGGCAGAGGCGGGACCAGCCCATTCAACCCCTCCAGTCCCTCCCAGTAAAACCCAGTTAATCCCAGTCCAGGCTAGTTCCTCCCAGTACAGCCCCAGTGCCCCTCCAGTCCCTCCCAGTGCAGCCCAGTTTGCCCCTGTGCCTCCCAGTATCTCCCAGTTCTACCAGTGCCACTCCCAGTTCGTCCCAGTCCATCCCAGTTTGTCCCAGTGCATCCCAGTGCCACTCCCAGTCTGTCCCAGTGCTCCCAGCATCCCCCAGTGTCACTCCCAGTTCATCCCAGTATCCCCCAGTTCATCCCAGTCCTTCCGCGGCCAAACCTCTGCCCTCCCCCATATTTGGCCACGCCCCTTCCATTGGTCACGCCCCCTCGTTCCGTGCCCCGCCCCCTCCCATTTCTCCCCCGCCCCCATTTCCAGTTCCCGCGGCTGCTCTGGGAAGGTGAGTGGAGCCCCAGTGACTCCCAGTTCATCCCAGTAACCCCCCCCAGTCCCTCCCAGTAACCTCCCAGTAACCCCCCAGTCCATCCCAGTAACCCCCCAGTAACATCCCAGTAACCCCCCATCCATCCCAGTCTCTCCCAGTTTGCCCAGTTCTCTCCCAGTAGTCCCCAGTTGGTCCCAGTCCCCCCCGGCTCCCCCCAGTTTGTCCCAGTTCCCCCCAGTTCGTCCCAGTCCCGCCCTGCTCAGGAATCCCAGTGACTCACCCGTCCCCAGTCCCCTCCCAGTCGCTCCCAGTTTGTCCCAGTTTGTCCCAGTCCCCTCCACCCCCTCAGGGATCAAAGGTGACCGAATGGAGTGGGAACAGCTCCGGGAACTGGTGATACTGGGAGGTACTGGTTTGGACTGGGATGGACTGGGAGGGAACTGGGAGGGACTGGGGGGGACTGGGATGGACTGGGAGGGACTGGTTTGTACTGGGAGGGACTGGGAGGGAACTGGTTTATATTGGGAGGGACTGGGAGGGACTGGGAGGGACTGGTTTGTACTGGGAGGGACTGGGAGGATTTCGGGGGTTACTGGGAGGAACTGGGCCCAGTCCCAGCCCAAACTGGTTTAACTGGTGTCCCCTCCCCCCCCAGTTCTGTCCCTGGCCAGAGGCGACACCCCGGTGAGTGACTGGGACAAACTGGGGCAAACTGGGAGGGACAGGGACAAACTGGGAGGGACAGGGACAAACTGGGACAAACTGGGAGTGACTGGGATGGAAAGCCTGAACTGGTTTATACTGGTCCATACTGGTTTCTACTGGTCCATGCTGGTCCATACTGGCTTATACTGGTTTATACTGGTCCGTGCTGGTCTCTCTGACCCCTCCCTTCCCCCCCAGATGCCTCCAGTCCCTTCCAGTTCGGTGAGTGCGGGAACTGGGAGGGACTGGGAGGGTCCCCAAAGTGTCCCCAAAGTGTCCCCAAGGTGTCACCAGGGTGTCCCCAAGGTGTCCCCAGGTGTCCACAGGTGTCCCCAAAGTGTCCCCAAGGTGTCCCCAGGTACTCCCAGGTGTCCCCAACGTGTCCCCAGGTGTCCCCAAGGTACCCCCAGCTGTCCCAGTGTCCCTGTCCCTGTCCCAGACTGGTGTCACCTGCACGTCGGTGGCCTCGCGGTGGCCGCAGTGCTGAGCGTGCTGGGGGTCGTCGTCCAGTGAGTGCCGCCCCTGTCACCTGTGTGTCACCTGTGTGTCACCTGTGTGTCACCTGTATGTCACCTGTGTGTCACCTGTGTCACCTGTGTGTCACCTGTGTCACCTGTGTGTCACCTCTGTGTCACCTCTGTGTCAGCTGTATGTCACCTGTGTGTCACCTGTGTCACCTGTGTGTCACCTGTGTGTCACCTGTGTGTCACCTGTGTCACCTGTGTGTCACCTCTGTGTCACCTCTGTGTCACCTCTGTGTCCCCTCAGGTGGGAAGTGCAAGTGCCGGAGCAAGGCCAGGTGAAACCCGGGGACATTTGGGGACAATTTGGGGACATTCGGGGACATTTGGGGTCATCGGGGGATTTGGGGACGTTGGGGGATGACATCGGGGACACTTTTTGGGGGATTTGGGGACGTTTTGGGGACCTTGGGGACACTGAGGGGGATTTGGGGTTGGGGGATTGGGGACATTTGGGGACATCGGGGACATTTGGGGGACACTTGGGGACAGTCTGGGGACACCTCAGTGTCCCCTCCCCTCCCCCGCAGGCACCGCCCCCCCCCCCCCCCCCCCGAGCTGTCACCTCTGGCTGGGACAGGTGAGTGTCCCCTCCCCCCTGGGGACACCTTGGGGACACCGCGGGACGGTGCCACCCCCTGACCCCCCCTCTCTCCGCAGGAGCCTGAGCTGTCCCCAGGTGTCCCCAAATGTCCCCAACAGGTGACACCGGATGGGGGGGAGGGGTGGCATTGATTTCCCCCAAATGTCCCCAAATTTTCCCCAAAATGTCCCCAAGAAAGGCAGTGAATAAAAATGGGTGAAAAAAAAAAGGATTTTGGTCACCGGGGGAGGGGACACGGGGACGGCGGGACAGCGGTGGCACCGGGAGGGGACACAAAGGCTTGGGGACATCGGGGCCATGGTGGTACCAGGAGGGGACGCTGAGGCCATGGTGGCCTTGGGGACATCGGGGCCATGGTGGCACCAGGAGGGGACGCTGAGGCCATGGTGGCCTTGGGGACATCAGGGCCATGGTGGCTTTGGGGACATCGGGGTGATGGTGGCACCAGGAGGGGACACTGAGGCAATGGTGGCCTTGGGGACATCGGGGCCATGGTGGCTTTGGGGACATCGGGGTGATGGTGGCTTTGGGGACATCAGGGTGATGGTGGCTTTGGGGACATCAGGGCCATGGTGGCCTTGGGGACATCGGGGCCATGGTGGACTTGGGGACATCGGGGTGATGGTGGCACCAGGAGGGGACACTGAGGCAATGGTGGTCTTGGGGACGTTGGGTCAGTGGTGAACTTGGGGACATCGGGGTGATAGTGGCCTTGGGGACATCAGGGCCATGGTGGCCTTGGGGACATCAGGGCCATGGTGGCCTTGGGGATGTCACACAAGGGTGGCCTCAGGTCCCTGCTGGTGTCTGGTCAATGTCCCCGCGTCCCTCTGGTGACCGAGCCCACGGCGACGTCCCCACGTCCCTGCAGCTGCACGAGGCCGTGGTGGCACCGCTGTCCTCACGGTGTCCCTACAGTGTCCCCACCTTGTCGCCACGGTGTCCCTTCACGCCCACATCTCCACAACATCAGGGTGGCCACCATGCCCACGTCCCACCAGATGCCACCACACGTCCCTCCAGATGCCACCACATGTTCCCCTCATGTCCCCTGATGTCCCCATCTCCACGGTGGACTGGTGGCCACCATCCTCGGCTGCCACCACACGTCCCCTGATGTCCCCCAGCCTCAGGGACACGACGGCAGCTCCGGGCATCCCCCCGGCGGCGGGCGGCCACTGGGCGCGCCTGGCCGTCCCTTCAGGTGCCGACGTCCTCGGTGACGTGGGCGTAGATCTGGGTGGCCCCCTTGAAGCTGGAGGCCACCAGGAAGTGGCGGTGGCCGACGGCGACGGGGACGAAGGCGCGGGGGGTGGGCGCGGGCAGGTCCTGGGCGGGCTCCAGGCGGCCGCCGGCGCCCAGGCGGAAGACGCGGCTCGGGGCGAAGTCGTTGCCCAGCAGGACGTAGCGGTGGCCGGCCAGGAGCAGCGGCTGGAAGACCAGAGAGCCGCGGGCCGGCACCTGCTGCACCTCGCGGAACATGGAGCCCTCCCAGCGCATCACCTGGAGATGGCGCGGGGTGGGGGGGTCAGTGGTGGGACCATGGGGTGGGTTGGGTTGGGTGGGTTGGGTTGGGTTGGTTGGGTTGGTTAGGATGGAGATGGCACCATTTGGTGGGTGGTGGCACCCTGGGGTGGCTGGTGGGACCATGGGATGGAGATGGCACCATGGAGTGGGTGGTGGGACCATGGGGTGGGTGGTGGCACCGTGGGTTGGGTTGGGTTCATGGATCAGAGATGGCACCATGGGATGGGTGGTGGGACAATGGGGTGGGTGGTGGCACCATGGGGTGGGTTGGGTTGGGGCCCTCCCTGCACTTCACCTGCACTTGGGGTCAGGGGTCAGAGGTGGGGCCTCGTGGCCCTGATGGGCCCCCATGGCCATGGGGTGGCCATCATCACCCTGGTGGCCCCACCTGTGACCACTCGTGGCCCCAATGCCCCCCCATGACCACATGGCCTTGATGGAACCCCATGGACCCATGACCCTGGTGAACCCCCATGACCCCATGACCTTGGGAACCTTCCATGACCACATGGCCTTGATGGAACTCCATGACCCTGGTGACCCTCCATGACCCCATGGCCTTGATGGACCTTCATGACCACACAACCATGATGGAACCCAATGGACCCATGACCCTTCTGACCCCCTCATGACCACATGACCTTGATGGACCCCCATAACCCCGTGAGCTTGATGGACCCCCATAACCCCATGGCCTTGATGGACCCCCATAACCCCATGACCCCGCTGCACCCCCAATCCCTGCTGACCCCCCATGACCTTGCCGGACCCCCCCCACCCACCACGACCCCACCACCCCCCAAGCCCGCCGCCATCACCTTGGCGTCGCCCAGGAACCTGGTGAGACACAGGAAGACGCTGCCCCGCAGGCGGAAGTGCTTGGCGGCGTAGGCGTCGGGCACGTGGGGGATGTCGGTGTGCGGCGCGAAGGCGTCGCCGCTCCAGCGGTAGACGAGCGGCCGGCGCGCGGCGCCGCAGAGCACCAGGGCCGGCCGCCCGCCCAGCTCCAGGAACTCCAGGTGGGTGTCGCGCTGCCACGGCCGCAGCGCCTGGTGCGGGTAGAAGCCGCCCGCGGCCCAGCGGAACACGGTGCTGGTGCCGCCCTTGGAGCTGTCGGCCACCCCCAGGTAGAGGTGCCCGGCCAGGCGCGCGGCGGCCACGGCGTGGGGCCGGCGCAGGCGGCCGGCGCCCAGGGCCTGGTGGCGCACGAAGGCCGAGCCGGGGCCGCCCGAGCGCCGCCACACCCAGGAGCCACCGCCCAGCTGGGCCACCACCAGCAGCAGGGTGTCACCCAGCGGGACCGGGTGGCAGGCCACCGGTGAGGAGCCTGGGGGGACGGAGGGGACGTCGGCGGGGACACGGGGGCAGCAGGGACACCGGGGACAGCAGGGACCTTGGGGACAGCAGGGACCTTGGGGACAGCGGGGACACTGGGGACAGCAGGGACCTTGGGGACAGCGGGGACCTTGGGGACACTGAGGACAGCGGGGACACTGGGGACAGCAGGGACAGCAGGGACCTTGGGGACACTGGGGACAGCGGGGACACTGGGGACATCAGGGACCTTGGGGACACTGGGACCTTGGGGACATTGGAGATGCTGGGGACCTTTGGGACCTTGGTGGTTATTGGAGGGCTTGGGGACATCTGGGGACGTTTGGGGACATCTGGGGACATCTGGGGACATTTGGGGACCTTTGAGCACCTTGAGGACCTTGGGGACATCGGGGCAATTCCTTTGTTCTCCCCCAAGGTCATTTTGGGGACCCTCAGCCCATTTTTGGGGTCCCCGAGGCCATTTCTGGGGGGTCACCCCAACTCTTGGTGTCCTCGGGTCCCTCTTGATGTTCCTCACCCAACTTTAACCATTCCCACCCCATTTTCCCCATTCCCACCCCGTTTTCCCCATTTGTCCCATTTTTTCGCAATTTTCTCCATTTTTTTCCATTTTCCCCATTCCCCCCCATTTCTCCCCCTTTTCCCCAATTTTCTTTTATTTTCACCATTTTTCTCCCGTTTTCCCCTCCATTTTACTCCATTTCCCCCCACTCCCCCTGTTTTTTCCCATTTTCCCCCATTTATTCACTATTTTCCCCCTTTTCCCCCATTTTACCCAGTTTCTCTCACTGTTGGTTATGGTGGGGGAACAGAACCTCCCCCCTATTTTTTTTCATCATTTTTCCCCCCATTTGTCCTCATTTTTGCCCCTTTCCCCCTCTTTTTCTTGGTTTTTTTTTTTTCACTGTTCTATCCCTTTTTCCCCATTTCCCTCTATTTTACCCCGTTTTCCACCATTTTAACCCCACTTCCCCCATCAATTCCCATTTTTCCCCATTTCCTCCTTCTTTTTCAACATTTTCTCTCCGTTTTTCTCCATTTCCCTCAATTTTCCCCAATTTTCCCCCCATTTCCTCCATTTTCTCATAATTCTTTCAATTTTTTCATCATTTTCCCATTTCCATCCTTTTTAACCATTTTTTCTGTTTTTTCCATTCCCCCATTTTTCCCTATTTTTCCCCCATTTCCCTATTTCCCCCATTTTTTCCCCATATCCCCCCATTTTTTATTTTTTCCATTTTACCTGATTTCCCCCCTTTTCCACCATTTTAACCCCATTTCCCCCATCTACTCCCATTTTTTCACCATTTCCTCCTTCTTTTTCAACATTTTCTTCCCATTTTTCTCCATTTCCCCCCCATTTCTCCCATTTTCTCAGAGTTCTTTCAGTTTTTCACCATTTTCCCATTTCCCCCCATTTTTTCCCCATTTCCCCATTTTCCCCCCATTTTTTCCCATTTCCCCCCATTTCTCTCGCTGTTCACGATGGTGGGCACACAGAACCTCCCACCCCATTTTCCCCTCATTTCCCCCATTTTCGTTTTTTTCCCATTTTCCCCCAATTTTTCCCACTTTTCCTCCCATTTTCCCAATTTCCCCGTTTTTCCCCGTTTCCCCCTTTTCTCTCACCGCTGACGACGCTGTGGGCTCAGAATCCCCCCCCAAGCTGCTCCCACTCCCACCCCATTTTCCCCAATTTCCCCAAATTTTTGCCCCATTTCCCCATTTTCCCTCATTTCCCCATTTTGCTCCATTTCCCTCATTTTTTCGCCATTTCCCCCAATTTTTTTGCCATTTCCCCCCATTTTTTCCCACAATTTTTCCCATTTTCCCCCATTTTTCCCCCATTTCTCTTGCTGTTGAGGACGCTGTGGGCTTGGACACTCCCTCTGAGCTGCTCCCAGTCCCACCCCATTTTCCCCAATTTCCCCAAATTTTTCCCCATTTCCCCCCATTTTTACCCCATTTCCCCTTTTTGCTCTAGTTCCCCCCATTTTTTTGCCATTTCCCCCCATTTTTTCGCCATTTCCCCCCATTTTTTCCCCAATTTTTCCCATTTTCCCCATTTTTCCCCCATTTCTCTTGCCGTTGATGATGCACTGGGCTCAGAACCTCCCCCCAAGCTGTTCCCACTCCCCCCCATTTTCCCCATTTCTCCCCCATTTTTTCCTCATTTCTCCCCCATTTTTTTTGCCATTTTCCCCTTTTTTTGCCATTTTCCCCCCGTTTTCCCCCCATTTTTCGCCCGTTTTACCCCATTTCTCTCACTGTTGAGGACGCTGTGGGCTCAGAAGCTCCCCCCGAGCTGTCCCCACTCCCGCCCCATTTTCCCCATTTCTCCCCCGTTTTTTCCCCATTTTCCCTCATTTTTTCGCCGTTTCCCCCCATTTTTTGGCCGTTTTCCCCCATTTTTTCCCGTTTCCCCCCATTTTTGCCCCGTTTCGCTCACCGTTGATGACGCGCTGGGCGCGGAAGCTGCCCCCCAGCTGGTCCCACTCCAGCAGGGCGCAGGCTCCGGCCGCCGGCTGCGCCAGGGCCACCCCAGGGTGCCCCCCGAGCGCAAAGGGCTCGGCCCCGAGCGAGGAGAACGGCAGCGCCTGGAACGGCCGCAGCTCTGGGGACACGGGGACAGTTGGGGACACCCCGGGGACAGCGTGGGGACATGGCTGGGGATGTGGGGACAGCTTAGGGACATCGCTGGGGATGTGGGGACATCCCTGGGGACATCCCTGGGGACATGGGGACAGCCCGGGGACAGCTTGGGGACAGCTTGCTGACATCTTGGGGACATGGCTGGGGACATAGGGAGAGTTGGGGACATCCCCAGGGACATGGGACAGCCCCAGGCCCTCCCAGTCCCATTCCCCCCCACAAAACCCCCCGTCCCAGTCCCTGCCAGTATATCCCAGTATAAACCAGTACAAACCAGTCCCTGCCAGTATATCCCAGTATAAACCAGTATAAACCAGTCCCTGCCAGTATATCCCAGTCCCTCCAGTATATCCCAGTACAAACCAGTACAAGACAGTCCCTCCATGCCCCATTTTCACCCCCAAAGCCCCCGGATTTTCTCCCCCCGGTCCCTCCCAGTTTGTCCCAGTTTGTCCCAGTTTGTCCCAGTCCATCCCAGTATACCCCAGTATATCCCAGTCCCATTTTCCCATCTAAAATTTCCAATTTTACCCCTGAAATTCCCATTTCTCACCCTAAAACCACCGGAGTTTTCCCCCCAGTCCCTCCCAGTATAACCCAGTCCCTCCCAGTATAACCCAGTATGTCCCAGTCCCTCCCAGTCCCATTTTCCCCCCCAAAATCCCCTGGATTTTCTCCCCCCAGTCCCTCCCAGTTCCCTCCCAGTTCCCTCCCAGTCTCTCCCAGTCCCTCCCAGTTCCCTCCCAGTCCCTCCCAGTTCCCTCCCAGTCCCTCCCAGTCCCTCCCAGTATAAACCAGTCACCGTGGCGCTGGCACTGGAGCTGCCGGGGCCCGAGCAGTGCCAGGGCGGTGCCGGCCAGCGCCGCGGGGCCGTGGCAGCGGGCGCCGCCCTCGGGGCCGGGGCCGGGCCGGGCGCGCAGCCAGCGCAGCAGCCAGCGCAGCGCGCAGTCACAGCGCAGCGGGTTCCCCCGCAGGTCCCTGCGCCGGGGACAGCGGGGACAGCGGGGACAGCCACGTTGGGGTCACCGCGTTGGGGACAGCCACGTCGGGGTCACCGCGTTGGGGACAGCCACGTCGGGGTCACCGCGTTGGGGACACCGGGGAATGGCCACGTCGGGGTCACCGCGTTGGGGACAGCGGGGGATGGCCACGTCGGGGTCACCGCGTTGGGAACAGCGGGGGATGGCCACGTTGGGGTCACCGTGTTGGGGACACCGGGGGGACAGCCACGTCGGGGTCACCGCGTTGGGGACAGTGGGGGACACCGGGGGGACAGCCACGTTGGGGTCACCGCGTTGGGGACAGCAGGGGGATGGCCATGTTGGGGTCACCGCGTTGGGGACACCGGGGGGACAGCCACGTTGGGGTCACCACGTTGGGGACACCAGGGAATGGCCACGTTGGGGTCACCGTGTTGGGGACAGCGGGGACAGCCACGTCGGGGTCACCGCGTTGGGGACAGCCACGTCGGGGTCACCGCGTTGGGGACACCGGGGGGACAGCCACGTTGGGGTCACCGCGTTGGGGACAGTGGGGGACAGCCACGTTGGGGTCACCGCGTTGGGGACAGCGGGGGGACGGCCACGTTGGGGTCACCGCGTCGGGGACACCACAGGGAGACCGCATTGGGAACACCGGGGGACACCACGGGGACACCGGGGGACACCACGGGGACATCACGCCGGGGACACCACAGGTGGGCACGTCGGGGACACCACAGGTCGACGACACCAAGGGTCGACACATCGGGGACACCGCATTGGGGACACCGCATTGGGGACATCGCAGGGACACCACGGGGACACCACGGGGACATCCCAGGTTGGCACGTTGGGGACGCCACGGGTCGGGGACATCCCAGGTTGGCACGTTGGGGACACCACGGGTCGGGGACATCCCAGGTTGGCACGTTGGGGACGCCACGGGTCGGCGCGTCGGGAGCACCGAGGGTCGCCGGGTGGCACGAAGGGGCAGCGAAGCGGGGAAAAAACGGCAGCAACGTGAGAAAAATGGCAAAATGTGGCACCAAAGTGACAAAAGTGGCAACAAAATGACAAAAAATGGCACCAAGGTGAGAAAAGTGGCACCAAAGTGGCACTAAATGCCACCAGGTGTCACCAGGTTTCAGCAGAGTGGCAAAAGTGGCAGCAAAACGAGAAAAATGGCACCAAATGGCACCAAGTGGCACCAAGTGACAACAAAGTGGCACCAAAGTGGCACCAAGTGACATCAAAGTGGCACCAAAGTGGCACTAAGTGGCACCAGGGGTCACCAAAGTGGCAAAAAATGGCACCAAATGGCGCCAGAGTGGCACCAAGTGGCACCAGGTGGCACCAAAGTGGCACTAAAAGGACATCAAATGGCACCAGAGTGGCACCAGAGTGGCACCAGGTGGCACCAAAGTGGCACTAAAAGGACATCAAAGTGGCACCAAAGTGGCACTAAAAGGACATCAAAGTGGCACCAAAGTGGCACTAAGTGGCACCAGGGGTCACCAAAGTGGCAAAAAATGGCACCAAATGGCACCAGAGTGGCAAAAAGTGGCACCAAATGGCAGCAAAGTGACAAAAATGGCACCAAATGGCACCAAAGTGGCACTAAAGGGACATCAAGTGGCACTAAGTGGTACCAGGGGTCACCAGAGTGGCAAACGTGGCACCAAAGTGACAAAAAGTGGCACCAAAGTGGCATCAAATGGCACCAAGTGGCACCAAAGTGGCACTAGGTGGTCCCAAAGTGGCAAAAAGAGGCACAAAAGTGAGAAAAATGGCACCAAAGTGGCACTAAATGTCACCAGGTGTCACCAGAGTGGCAAAAAGTGGCAGCAAAGTGACAAAAATGGCACCGAATGGCACCAAAGTGGCCCCAGGTGGCACCAGAGTGGCACTGAAGTGGCACTGAAGGGACATCGGGTGGCATCGAATGTCACCAAATGCCACCAGAGTGGCACAAAATGGCACCAAACGGCAGCAAAGTGACAAAAAGTGGCACCAAAGTGGCACCAACCCTCCCAACCCCCCAGTGTCCCCAAAGGTCATCAAACGTCCCCAATGTCCCCAAATGTCCCTAACCCCCAAATGTCCCCAATGTTCCCAATGTCCCCAACCCCCAATCCCCTCAATGTCCCCAAACATCCCCAAATCCCCCAAATGTCCCCAATGTTCCCAATGTCCCCAAATCCCCCAAATGTCCCCAATGTCCCAAATGTCCCCAACCCCCCCAAATGTCCCCAACCCCCCCAATGTCCCCCAGTGTCCCCAATGTCCCCAACCCCCCCAGTGTCACCCACAGGTGGCCGAGGTTGGGCAGCTCCTGGAAGAGGCCGCGGGGCAGCGACTGCAGGAGGTTGTCGGCCAGACTCCTGCGGGGACAGCGGGGACATTGGGGACATTGGGGACATTTGGGGACATTTGGGGACATCGGGGACATTTGGGGACATTGGGGACATTGGGGACATTTGGGGACATTTGGGGACATCGGGGACATTTGGGGACATTGGGGACATTGGGGACATTTGGGGACATTTGGGGAATTGAGGGGATTGGGGACATTTGGGGACATTGGGGACATTTGGGGACATTTGGGGACATTGGGGACATTTGGGGACATTGGGTACATTGGGGACATCAGGGACATTGGGGATATTTGGGGACATTGGGGACATTTGGGGACATTTGAGGACATTGGGGACATTTGGGGACATTTGGGGACATTTGGGGACATTGGGGACATTGGGGACACTTGGGGACACCTTGGGGACATCGGGGACATTGGGGACATTGGGAACATTGGGGACATTTGGGGACACTTGGGGACACTCACAGGAACAGGAGCCCCCGGAGCCCCCGGAGAGCTGCAGGGGGGAGGGAGCGGAGCTGGGAGTCCTCCAGGAACCTGCCCAGTATGGACCAGTATGGACCAGTTACAGACCAGTATGGACCAGTACGGACCAGTACGGACCAGTACGGACCAGTACGGACCAGTATGGACCAGTTACAGACCAGTACGGACCAGTACGGACCAGTACGGACCAGTATGGACCAGTATAAACGAGTTACAGACCAGTATGGAGCAGTATGGACTGGTACAAACCAGTACAGACCAGTATAAACCAGTACAAACCAATATAACCAGTCCCTCCCAGTTTGTCCTGGTCCCTCCCAGTCCAAACCAGTCCAAACCAGTCCCTCCCAGTACAAACCAGTCCCTCCCAGTCTAAACCATTCCAAACCAGTCCAAACCAGTATAACCAGTATCCCCAGTATCACTCAAAGGTACTCGAGTGCCCCCAGCTCCATTCCCCATCCAAACCAGTATAAACCAGTACAAACCAGTATAACCGGTCCAAACCAGTCCAAACCAGTACAAACCAGTACAAACCAGTATAAACCAGTCCCTCCCAGTATAAACCAGTCCAAACCAGTACAAACCAGTACAAACCAGTACAAACTAGTATAAGCAGTCCAAACCAGTCCAAACCAGTCCAAACCAGTCCAAACCAGTCCAAAGCAGTAAAACAGTCCAAACCAGTCCCTCCCAGTATAAACCAGTCCAAACCAGTCCAAACTAGTCCAAACCAGCCGAAACCAGTCGTTCCCAGTCCAAACCAGTATACCCAGTATCCCCAGTGTGACTCACAGGTACTCCAGCGCCCCCAGCCCCTCGAAGGCTCCGTCCCCGACGCTCCCCAGGCGCCCCGAGGCCACCAGGCTGGGGGGACAGAGGGACATTTCGGGGACATTGGGGACATTTGGGACAATTTGGGGACAATTGGGAACAATTGGGGCATTTGGGGACATTTTGGGAGGTTTTTGGGTCAATTTTGGGGACATTTGGGACATTTTGGGGACATTTGGGGACATTTGGGATATTTGGGGACATTTGGGGACAATTTGGGGACATTTGGGACAATTTGGGGACATTTGGAACAATTTGGGGACATTTGGGACAATTTGGGGACAATTGGGAACAATTGGGGCATTTGGGGGGTTTGGGGACATTTTGGGAGGTTTCCGGGTCAATTTTGGGGACATTTGGGACAATTTTTGGGACATTTTGGGACATTTGGTGACATTTGGGGTAATTTTGGGGTCAACTCCAGGGACAATTTGGGACATTTGGGGACATTTGGGGACAATTTGGGGACATTTGGGGACATTTTGGGACATTTTGGGGACATTTTGGGACAATTTGGGGACATTTGGGAACATTTGGGGACATTTGGGACAATTTGGGGACAACTGGGAACAATTGGGGCATTTGGGGACATTTTGGGAGGTTTTTGGGTCAATTTTGGGGACATTTGGGACAATTTTGGGGACAATTTGGGACATTTGGGGACATTTGGGGACAATTTGGGGACATTTGGGGACATTTGGGGACAATTGGGATATTTGGGGACATTTTGGGACAATTGGGGACATTTGGGACATTTAGGAACATATAGGGACATTTTGGGACATTTGGGGACATTTGGGACAATTTGGGGACATTTGGGACATTTGGGGTTTTGGGGGATATTTTGGGGGATTTTGGGATATTTTCGGATTTTTGGGATATTTTGGGGGATTTTTGGGGGGGATTTGGGGGTTTTTTGGTTGTTTTTTGGGGATTTTTTTGTGTTTTGGGGATTTGGGGTTTTTTTTGGGGTGTTTTGGGGACATTTTGGGATATTTTGGGGGATTTTGGGATCATTTGGTGCAATTGAGTTGGTTTTGGGGGATTTGGGAGATTTTTGGGGTGATTTGGGGATATTTGGGCTGATTTTGGGCCATTTTGGGATATTTGGGGAATTTTGGGGGGTTTGGGGGGGTTTTTTCGTTGTTTTTAGGGGATTTTTTTGTGTTTCGAGGAATTTGGGGGGGTTGGGGGTGATTTTTTGGGGATATTTTGTAATAATTTGGGGGATTTGGGGATATTTTGGGTGATTTGGGGACATTTAGGGATGTTTTTGGATATTTTTGGATATTTTTGGGATGGTTTTGGGACATTTTAGTGATTTTTGGGACATTTTGGGAGATATTTTTGGGATATTTTGGGATTAATTTTTTTGGGGGGACATTTTGGGATGTTTTGGGGGGATTTTGGGACATTTTGGGATGGTTTTGGGGTGAATTTTTCGGGATATTTTTGGAGTGATTTTGGGACATTTTAGTGATTTTGGGACATTTTGGGAGATATTTTTGGGATATTTTGGGATATTTTTGGGATGGTTTTTTTTGGGACATTTTGGGATGTTTTGGGGGCATTTTTGGGGCGTTTTTGGGGGATATTTTGGGATATTTTGGGATGTTTTGGGGGGGTTTTGGGGGCGTTTTTGGGGCGTTTTGGGGGTGTTTTCGGGGATATTTTGGGATATTTTTGGGGTGATTTTTTGGGCCATTTTGGGGTGATTTTGATGTGTTTTGGGGCGGTTTTGGGCCATTTTGGGGATTTTGGGGACTCACAGCAGCGTCAGCGCCGGGAGGTGCCGGAAGCTCCCCTGGGGCAGCTCCTCGATGTCCCAGCGGAGCAGCGAGCTGGAAATGGGGGAAAAAACGGGAAAAACGGGAAAATTGGGGGGAAATGGGAAAAATTGGGGGAAAAACCGGGGAAATGGGAAAAATTGGGGAAATTTGGGGGAAAAAACGGGAAAAACACGGGGGGGAGAAGTGGGGAAAATTGGGGCAAAAAAAAGGGAAAAATGGGAAAAATTGGGGGGAAAATGGGGAAATTGGAAAAATTGGGAAAATTGGGAAAAATGGGAAAAGAACGGCAGAAAATGGGAAGAATTGGGGGGAAAACGGGAAAAAATGGGAGAAGTTGGGGAAAAATGGGGGGAAAAACGAGAAAATGGGAAAAGTAGGGAAAAATTGGGAAAATTTGGGAAAATTGGGAAAAAATGGGAAAAGAATGGGGCAAATGGGAAAAATTGGGGGGAAACTGGGCAAAATGGGACAAAATGGGAAAAATGGGAAAAACTGGGGGAATTTGGGATGAAAATTGGAAAACTGGGGAAATTTGAGTGGAATTTTTAGGACATTTTTGGAAAATTTAGGGAAATTTGAGGGATTTTGGGGAAAATTTGGGCAGAAAATGGGAAAAGTGGGGGAATTTTGGGGATTTTTGGGGATTTTGTGGGAATTTGAGGAAAAATTGGGGGAAATTTCTGGTGAAATTTGGGAAAATTGGGAGAATTTTGGGGGGAAATTGGGGGAATTTTGGGGAATTTGGGGAAATTTGGAGGGAAATGGGAAAATTGGGGTGAATTTCAGGGAAATTTGGGGAATTTGGGGGGAAATGGGAGAATTGGGGAATTTGGAAAATTTCAGGGGAATTTTTGGGGGGTCCCAAATTTGGGGGATTTTGGGGTTTGGGGGGGTCCCAAATTTGGGGGGATTTGGGGGATTTTGGGGGGATTTGGGGTCCCAATTTAGGAGCTCATGGGGTTTTCGAGTCCCAAATTTGGGGGATTCTGGCGGGTCCCAAATTTGCAGGATTTTGGTGGATTTGGGAGGTCCCGGGGGAGATTTTGGGGTTCCAAATTTGGGGGGTTTTGGGGGGGTCCTGGGGTGTTTGGAGACACAATTTTGGGGGGATTTTGGGATTTAGGGGGTCCCGGGAGGGATTTTGGGAGGTGCCAGGGTGAATTTTTGGGGTTTCAAATTTGGGGGATTTTGGGGTCCCAAATTGGGAGGATTTTGAGGGGTCCCGAGGGGATTTTGGGGCTCCCAAATTTGGGGGATTTTGGGAGATCCCGGGTCGGTTTTGGGCTCCCAAATTTGGAGGATTTTGGGGTATCCCGGGCTGGATTTTTGGGGGTCCCGGGGAGGATTTTGGGCTCCCAAAATTGGGAATTTTTCACCTCCCAAATTTGCCGGGACCGTTCCAAAGGAGGGAAAACGGGGGGGAGGGAGGGGGGGGAGGGAAAGGAGCTCAAGGGAACCCCAAAATCTCTTTTGGGGGGGGGGTCCCGAATTGAGGGGGGGGGGGGGGTCGGGGCACTCACAGCGTGGCCAGGCCCGGGGGGAGCCCCCGGGGGACGCCCCCGGCCCCACCCCGGCAGCGGGCGTTGGTTCGGTCGCAGTCGCAGCCCCCGGGACAGGCCACGCCCCCTTTGGGGACCCCCCCAAAAACCGGGACCCCCCCAAAAACCGACGGGACCCCCCCGAAAACCAACGGGACCCCCCCGAAAACCGACGGGACCCCCCCGAAAACCGACGGGACCCCCCCGAAAACCGACGGGACCCCCCCGGAAAGCGCCAGGAGGGCCCCGAGAAGGAGCAGGGGAGGCATGGGGGGGGGGGGTTCCCCAAAAAAGGGGGAAATTCCTAAAAAAAGCCCCCAAAAAATTCCCAAGAATTCCCCCCCCAAAAAAAATCCCAAAAAAGCACAAACAATGAAAATAAATTCCCAGAAAAAGCACCGAAAAAATCCCGAAAATTCCCCCCAAAAATCCCAAAAAAGCACAAAAAAATCCCCCAAAAAATCTCAAAAATCACAAAAAAATTCTCAGAAATTCCCCAAAAAAGGGAAAAATTTAAAAAAAAATCCACAGAAAAAGCACAAAAAAAATCCCAAAAAACCTGCCCCCAAAAAAATTCCAAAAAAGCACCAAAAAAATTGCCAAAATTTCCCCCAAAATCCAAAAAAAGGACCAAAAATCCCAAAACTTTAAAAAAATTCTCAAATATTCCCAAAAAAGCACAAAAAAATTCCCAAAAATTCAAAAAAAATTCCAAAAACCCCCAAAAATTCCCCAAAAATCCCAAAAAAAATCCCCCCCAAAATTGGTTTAAACCCCCCAAAAAACCAAAAATAATAAAACAGAAACAGTTTAGAAAACCCGACAAAAATCCCCAAAATCCCACCAAAGTTCCCCAAAATTTTGTTTTAAATACCCAAAAAAAAATCCAAAAAACGAACTCAAAATAAGCACAGAAAATCAACAAAAAAAAAAACCCCAAACAAGTACGAAAAAATTCCCCAAAAATCCCAATAAAATCCCCCCAAATTTGGTTTAAAACCCCCCCCCAAAAAAAACCCAAAAAATTAAAAAAAAAATTTAAAAAAAAATCCCCAAACAATCCAGATGAAATCCCCCAAAATTCTGGAAATCCCCAAAAAAGCCCCGGAAAATCATCCAGAAATTCCAAAAATTCCAAAAAAACAAAATAAAAATCCTAAAAAAAGCCTGAAAATGTCCTAAAAACACCCAAAAAATCCTAAAAAACCCTTAAAAACCCAAAGAAGGAACCTCAAAATATCCTAAAAAAAAACCCTTTAAAATATCCTTTAAAAAATCCCAAAAAACAACAAAAAAAAAAAATCCCGAAAAAACCTTAAAAATCCTTAAAGAAATAAAAAAAATAATATAATCCTTTAAAAACCCCTAAAAAACCTTAAAATAACGAAAAGGACAAAAAAGACCCAAAAAATCCTTCAAAAATCTTTAAACAAACCCAAAAAATCCCCGAAAAGCACCAAAAAATCCCAAAAATTTCAAATAAACAAAACCAAAAAATCCCCGAGAAAGCCCCAAAACTCCCAAAACAGCAAGAAAAAAACCCCAAAATCTCAAAAAAATCCCCAAAAATTCAAATCAAAAAGGCCCCAAAAATCCCCCAAAAAACCCCCAAAAAATCCCAAAAATCACGAAATACTCAAATAAAAAAACCCCCAAATCCCAAAATCCCAAAAATTCAACTCAAAAACTCAAAAAAAATCCCCAAAAAAACCCGAAAATTCCCCAAATTCCCAAACAAATCCCAAAATATTCAAATAAAAAAACCGAAAAAAAAAACCCCTCGAAAAACCCCCAAAGCCCCAAATAATCTCAAAATCCCAAAAATTCCCCAAAAATCTGCCCCAAAAACCCCAAAAAAACCCAAGAAAAGCCCCAAAAATCCCAAAATCCGTCCCAAAATCCCGCCCGGAGCCGGCACCGCCTCAAAGCGGCCCCGAATTCCCCAAAAATTCCCAAAAAATTCTCCAAAAATTTCCCAAAAATCCCAAAAACCCCCCCAAAATTCCCAAAATCTTCCAAAAATTCCCAAAAACTCCCAAAAAAACCCCCCAAAATCCGCCCTAAAATCCCGCCCAGCATCGGCCCCGCCCCAAAGCGGCCCCGAATTCCCGAACGATTCCCAAAAAATTCCCCAAAAATCCCAAAATAACCCCAAAAATTCCCCAAAATCCCAAAAATAGCCCCCCAAAACCCCCGAAATCGCCCCCAAAAAATTCCCGAATCCGCCCTAAAATGGCCAAAATCGCCCCGAAAAATCCCCCAAAAAATCCCAAATTCCGCTCCCCCGCCCCCCCCCCGCGCCCCTCCCGCTCCTCGCGCCCCGAAAGTGCCGAAAATTCCCCAAATTCGCCCCCAAAAATTCCCGAATTGGCCCCAAAAACGGCCCCGAAATTCCCGCGGGTTCGGCTCCGGCCGGCGGCGGCGCCGCGCGGGGGTGGGCGGGGCCGTGGGCGGAGCGGATTGTGGACACGCCCACAGTGGGCGGGGCCATGCCCATATAAGGAGCGGATGCCCAAATACGGAGGGGCGGCCGCGGCGGGGAGGCCACGCCCAGCGCCGGTACAAAGGCGCCGCTTGTCGGGACCGGGACAGACAGACAGAGCGGCTTTGTCACTGGTTTGGGCTGGGAGGGACTGGGAGGGACTGGGAGGGACTGGGATATACTGGGAGGGACTGGGATATACTGGGAGGGACTGGGACAGGGCAGCTTTGTACTGGTTTGTACTGGTTTGGACTGATTTGTACTCGGAAGGACTGGGACGCACTGGGACAGAGGGGTCTTTGTTACTGGTTTATACTGGGAGGGACTGGGAGGTCACTGGGGGTCACTGGGACAAAGAGGCTTTGGACCGGTTTGTACTGGGAGATACTGGGAGGGACTGGGAGGGACTGGGAGGGACTGGGAGATACTGGGAGGGACTGGGACAAGGCAGCTTTGTACTGGTTTGTACTGGGAGGGACTGGGAGGGGACTGGGAGATACTGGGAGGGACTGGGACAAGGCAGCTTTGTACTGGGAGGGACTGGGAGGGACTGGGACAGAGCGGCTTTGTACTGGTTTGGACTGGTTTGTACTGATTTGTACTCGGAAGGACTGGGACGCACTGGGACAGAGGGGTCTTTGTTACTGGTTTATACTGGGAGGGACTGGGAGGTCACTGGGGGTCACTGGGACAAAGAGGCTTTGGACTGGTTTGTACTGGGAGCACTGGGAGGGACTGGGGGAGGGACTGGGACAAACTGGGAGGGAACTGGGAGGGAACTGGTTTATACTGGGAGGGAACTGGAAGGTTACTGGGACAGAGGGCACGTTGTTACTGGGAGCACTGGGAGGGACTGGGGGGGTTCCCAGTCTGTTACTGGTCTGTACTGGTGTAACTGGTCTGTACTGGTATAACTGGTCCCTTACTGGTGTAACTGGTCCAGTACTGGTGTAACTGGTCCTGTACTGGTGTAACTGGTCTGTACTGGTGTAAATGGTCCGGCACTGGTGTAACTGGTCCCTTACTGGTGTAACTAGTCCGTTACTGGTGTAACTGGTCCAGTACTGGTGTAACTGGTCCTTTACTGGTGTAACTGGTCTGGTGTAACTGGTCTGTACTGGTGTAACTGGTCTGTACTGGTGTAACTGGTCCGTTACTGGTGTAACTGGTCTGTACTGGTGTAACTGGTCCTGTACTGGTGTAACTGGTCCCTTACTGGTGTAACTGGTCTGGTGTAACTGGTCTGTACTGGTGTAACTGGTCTGTACTGGTGTAACTGGTCCGTTACTGGTGTAACTGGTCTGTACTGGTGTAACTGGTCCGTTACTGGTGTAACTGGTCTGTACTGGTGTAACTGGTCCTGTACTGGTGTAACTGGTCCCTTACTGGTGTAACTGGTCTGGTGTAACTGGTCTGTACTGGTGTAACTGGTCCAGTACTGGTGTAACTGGTCCGTTACTGGTGTAACTGGTCTGTACTGGTGTAACTGGTCCTGTACTGGTGTAACTGGTCCTGTACTGGTGTAACTGGTCCTGTACTGGTGTAACTGGTCCAGTACTGGTGTAACTGGTCCTGTACTGGTGTAACTGGTCCGGTACTGGTGTAACTGGTCCCGTACTGGTGTAACTGGTCCCTTACTGGTCCGTTACTGGTGTAACTGGTCCAGTACTGGTGTAACTGGTCCCTTACTGGTGTAACTGGTCTGTACTGGTGTAACTGGTCCTGTACTGGTGTAACTGGTCTGTACTGGTGTAACTGGTCCGGCACTGGTGTAACTGGTCCCTTACTGGTGTAACTGGTCCGGCACTGGTGTAACTGGTCCTGTACTGGTGTAACTGGTCTGTACTGGTGTAACTGGTCCTGTACTGGTGTAACTGGTCCTGTACTGGTGTAACTGGTCCCTTACTGGTATAACTGGTCCGTTACTGGTGTAACTGGTCTGTTACTGGTGTAACTGGTCTGTACTGGTGTAACTGGTCCTGTACTGGTGTAACTGGTCCCTTACTGGTATAACTGGTCCGTTACTGGTGTAACTGGTCTGTTACTGGTGTAACTGGTCTGTACTGGTGTAACTGGTCCTGTACTGGTGTAACTGGTCTGTACTGGTGTAACTGGTCCGGCACTGGTGTAACTGGTCCGGCACTGGTGTAACTGGTCCCTTACTGGTGTAACTGGTCCGTTACTGGTGTAACTGGTCCTGTACTGGTGTAACTGGTCCTGTACTGGTGTAACTGGTCCCTTACTGGTGTAACTGGTCCGTTACTGGTGTAACTGGTCCGGTACTGGTGTAACTGGTCCTGTACTGGTGTAACTGGTCCCTTACTGGTCCGTTACTGGTGTAACTGGTCCGGTACTGGTGTAACTGGTCCCTTACTGGTGTAACTGTTGCCTTCACGGGAGACAACGGCGACCTGGTTGCAAGAAGCAGCACGGCAGCCCGGCCTGTCCGGGCTACTCGGGCTAACGACACACGCTGACACCAGTGTGGTGGACGGTCGAAAGCGTTTATTATCTTATCTCATGGGTTTAAATAGTCTTGGGGGACTTTGCTACTTCAGAGGGGGGTTGTGGGGTCCCTAGGGTTAGTCGGGAGTGGAAAACTACTGGGTTAGGTGTGGTTACATGTTCTGGGGGTAATAGTTCACGTGAAGCAGGGTGAGGGGGGAAGGGTCTTTCTTTCTGTCACATCCCGGGATCTTCCGTTCGCCTGTCCCTATCTACTACATCTCCCCCCTCCTTTTCATAAATAAAATGAGGTAGTCGTAGATATAGGCACTGGAGTGAGGT